TGAATTTAGAGTTTACGAAAATATATAAGCACTAATAAATATTTTTTCTTTTATTCTACCTTCAAGATATACGAAGAACTATTATAAACTATGTTACTACACTAGTATAGCTATAGATATACATATAGTTAATCTTCTTCTGACATATATTCTCTTAAAATTTTATTATCTTGGACAATTTGTATTTGCACTATATATGATGAAAGAATACTAAAGAATTCTGCTCAAATAATCTTTTTGGTTTTTCTTTAGGTCATCTACAGCCAACAGGATGCTTTAATCATTTGTGATTTGTCAAGAAAGTGATGGTTGGAAAATATTTTTATATTCAGGTTAACAAAGATGTAAATAGGTTAGTTTGTTAAGAAATGGGTAATATAAATTATATTCAGGAATCTTTAAGTGATCATAATATTCAAGAAGATGGATTAGATTTACAAAATATCTGTCTGTTTCTTTGGTAACAGAAGGTAAAAAACTACTATTAAAATAAAGAAAATCTATGACTTCACTTGCATAGGGTGGTTTACAACAACTTATATCTGTATACTATTTGATATCAAAAAAGTATTGGTACAAGTTACAATGATCTTTGATCTACGACCATGAGACAAAGCATTCTGCTAAGTTATTTTTTTCATCTTCTTGATTTTTTTGTTTTTCTTGTTGCTTTTGTTTTTCTATTTTTTCTTTTTCTATATTTTTAAATTGCAGATCTTTAAATAGATTAATAGTTTTTTCAACATATTTCATATTTATCTGTTTTTCAAAAATTAAATCACGATTCCAAGCATTACAAAGAATTTCATCTGCATATCTAAAATTTCAAAAAGCCAACTCTGAACATATCACATTTCCTTGTGTATCTAAATGTTTTCCAAAGTAATCGATTGGTAGTGTTATAGAACAGTTTATTATTTTATTATTGTATTTTATTATTTATTTTATTATTATTATTTAGTCTTATTTAGTTATTATTATTAGAGTAGAATTTAGTAGA